CTTTAACAAATTGTGCTGGCATCACTGGACGGCTACATGCAAAAAAGTGGGCTCAGAACTCTGCCTAACACCATGTACAAAAGTAAGATCAAAATGGATTAAAGACCTCAACATCAGACCAGAAACCATAAGGTATATTGAAGACAAAGTTGGCAAAACCCTCCATGACATTGAAGCTAATGGTATCTTCAAAGATGCCACACCACTGGCCGAGCAAGTGAAAACAGAGATAGATAAATGGGACTATCTTAAACTAAGAAGCTTCTGCACCTCCAAAGAAACAGTGACCAAAATACAAAGACAGTCTACAGAATGGGAAAGGATATTCGCCGAATACACATCTGACAAGGGGTTGATATCAAGGATATACAAAATACTGGTTGAACTCCACAAGAAGAAAACTTCCAACCCCATCCAAAAATGGAGCAATGAAATGAACAGAAACTTTCTCAAAGAAGAAATCCGAATGGCAAAAAAGCACATGAGAAAATGTTCTACATCATTAATTATCAGGGAGATGCAGATTAAAACCACAATGAGATATCATCTCACACCTCAGAGACTGGCCCACATCCAAAAGAACAAAAGCAACCGATGCTGGCGCGGATGTTGTGAGAAAGGGACACTCCTTCACTGTTGGTGGGAATGTCGACTGGTTCAGCCCTTCTGGAAACAGTATGGACGATTCTCAAAAAATTAGAAATTGAGCTCCCATTTGACCCAGCAATACCACTCCTGGGAATATATCCCAGAGAGGCAAAAATGTATAGTCGAAGTGACATCTGCACTTGTTTGTTCATTGCAGCACTCTTTACAATAGCCAGAAACTGGAAGAAACCTGAATGCCCAAGAACAGATGACTGGTTAAAGAAACTTTGGTACATCTACACAATGGAGTACTATGTAGCTGTTAGAAAAGATGAAGTCATGAAATTTACATACAAGTGGTACAACATGGAAAGTATCATGCTAAGCGAAATGAGTCAGAAAGAGAGGGATAGACATAGAAAGATTGCATTCATCTGGGGGACATAAAGTAACAAAATATGAGATTAATACCCAAGAATAGCGAGATCAGCACCAGGAGGATTTCTCCATAGCTTAGAGGCCAGCTGGGCATTCTAGGGGAAAGGGCAGCTCAAAGAGAAGGGAGCACCAAATAAAGGGTGTTTGGAGGATCCTCCCAGGAGGGGAGATGCATGTTGAAAGTAGACTATGGAATGAACATGTTTGCCACTCAAAGCCTCTTTTGCAGACTACAACGCGCAAAAGGAGAGAGAGAACACAAGGGATTGCCCTGCCACAGAGGCAGGGTGAGATTGGAGGGATGGGGGTGGGAGGGATATTATACATGGTGATGGAAAATGGGCACTGGTGGAGGGATGGGTATTTGATCATTGTATAATCGAAACCCAAGCACAAAAAATTGTAAATCTACAACTGTACCTCATGGTGTTTCACTAAAAATAAAAAAAATTAAAATTAAAAAAAATAAAAAAAGTGAAATTAGATGAATGAAAATATTGTCAGAAAAACAAGTGACACTTAATACAACTAAATTTAGGTGTCGGGTATTGGGCACTTTGGTGAGGCACGGTAACAATTGATCACAAGCATAAACAGTAACACATTTTGGTAAACTTCTTACCTAGCTACAATAATAATGAAAATATAGGTGAGAAAGAAAGTACCCTGAGGTTCCAGAAAAAAATCACAAGGGTTCAGGGCTTCAATCCCTGGCACTGTCCATGATTCCCCAAACACCACCAGGATCACATAGCCAGGTGTGAGCCCTGAGCATAGCTGGGTGTGACGCCCCACCAAGAGAAAAGTAACCTGGAAGTCTGTCATCAGTTCCAAAGCATTAATAATCAAAGGTTGCAATACAGTCCTTTCATATACAATATTGCTCATTAGTTTTATTTGAATGTCAATAGTAAATTAATAAAAAGTTCAACATAAATGGAAAATTGTAAAACTGCTCTGGTTATACTATATATGGGAATTTGACTTTGTGTGCTGATGCTCCTCATTCCCTTTACAATAAAGGGTTAAGGCAGACTGACCAGGCAGGTAAAAATGCATTCTCCTGGCTTTAATGTCATTAAAATGTCACCCCAATTCAAGAGAAATGAATTTAGAATTACTTTCAGTGCTGCCTCTCAGTGTTTGCAGAAATTTACTACTGCAACTTCTTTTTGCAGATTTCCCTCCAAATATTAAAAAATATATTTTCAGAATTTGTTATATGAACTGTTTTTTTAATTTTTATTTTTTAATGAATCACCGTGAGATAGTTACATACTTACAAACTTTCGTGCTTGCGTTTCAGTCATACAATGATCGAGTACCCATCCCTCCGCCAGTGCCCATTTTCCACCACCAATGGTCCCAGCATCCCTCCCACTACCCCACCCCATCCCTCACCATCCCCACCTCACTTCTGTGGCAGGCGGATTCTGTTTTTACTCTCTCTCTCCTTTAGGGTGTTGTGGTCTGCAATGCAGGTATTAAGTGGCCATCATGTTCGGTCTACAGTCTACTTTCAGCATACACCTCCCATTCCAAGCGGGTCCTCTAAGCATCCTTTACTTGGTGGTCCCTTCTCTGTCCCCCAGCATGTGAGGCTGGCTTCCCAGCCATGGAGCTATCCTCCTGGTCCTTATCTCTACTATCCTTGGGTGTTTGTCTCCCATTTTGTTACTTTATATTCCACAAATGAGTGCAGTCTTTCTATGTCTGCCCCTTTCTTTCTGACTCATTTCACTTAGCATGATACTCTCCATGTTAATCCACTTATATGCAAATCTCATGACTTCATATTTTCTAACAGCTGCATAGTATTCCATTGTGTAGATGTACCAAAGTTTCTTTAGCCAGTTATCTGTTTTCAGACACCCGGGTTTTTACCAAGTTCTGGCTATTATAAACAGTACTGCAATGAACATATGAGTGCAGATGTCATTTCTACTATACTTTTTTGCGTCTCTGGGGTATATTTCCAGAAGTGGTATTGCTGTATATGGACTGTTTTAAATCTCTGTGCCTCAGTTAGAGTGACAGTTCAAAGGACTGTGTGCATGCTTTGCTTGCAGGAGGCCCGGGTTCCAGGAAAAATATGGTCCCCCTGAGTAAACCCTGAGCACAGAGCTGGGAGTAGCCCCTAAGCACCACTGGGTATGCCCCCCACTAAAGAAATCTCTACACTTATTGCATAAATAAAGTTTTTTCATTTTATTTTTGAAATTAAAAAAGTTATTGACTGAGATTATGTGATTTACAATCATCATTATTAAGAATTTTTAAAACCTCCTAAGCAATGTTTGAGGGGTTGGTTGTTCAGTGTTAGAGATTGAGGGTACAATGTTGCTTAGGTACTGAGGTGTCAGGTACCACCAGTGTCATGCCTACAGTGTTTGTGGGCTCCACAAACACACTCGGTGGTGCCCAAGTATATCCAAGGATGTCCCAGCAATGCTCAGAGGACCATATCCAGTTTAATCCCTATACTAGCTCCTGGCCTCTGAATGAAATCATTTTGAACATCCTTTTTAAAAATGCATTTATTTACTGTAGCATTGTCCTCCTGTTGTTAGATTTGCTGGAGTGGGCACCAGTAACATCTCACAACAAGTTGTGAGACTTGTTACTGTGTTTGGCATATCAAATATGTCACAGGTAGCTTGTCAGACTTTGCCGTGTGGGTGAGATACTCTTGGTAGCTTGCCGGGCTCTCCAAGAGGGACAGAGGAATCAAACCCAGGCCAGCCATGTGCAAGGCAAACGCCTTATCTGCTGTGCTATCACTCCAGCCCATTTATTTACAAGAATGGATAATTACCTGACCTTTGGTTTTGTTATGTAGATGTTTGTTAAACCTCCTTTTTATATTCACATGTCATATCTTCCCAGAACAAAGCCATCTTGGCATAAGTTTTATGATAGTCATGGAAGACTTTGAGGCCTTTCATACAGTGCACAACTGCAGGCATTAATTTATCTCAATGTCAGAAGTAAAGCAAAGGCTAGATTTTGTAGAGCCAGACCCCATGCCAGCAGTCCATGGATTGTTTTGTTCTATTGCTTGCCACAAGGCAATCTGTAGAAGAAATAGGAAAGGATTAAAGCATCCTTTTTAGGCCTAGGTCTTATAAAGTCATTTCCCAAAAAGTCCTTCTAAAATCTTTGAAAGTTAGTCCATTGTTAATCAAATGTTCACTTACAGTTCAGTGTAACAGAAATGGGGTGGGTCCAGCTGATTCCTGGCAGGATAGCACCTGACTTATTGAGCGCCAGTTCCTCAGGGGCCAGAGGATAACCTGCTCTCCTTTTCCCTAGGATCCATTTTTGGTTAGACCATCTGGTCAAACACTGAAAACATTGGTCCTCCCTATATGCCAATGCTTCTTCTAAGGACTTTTCACCCCCTTCACCCCCCACTCCCTTCACCTCCCCCACCCCACCCCTGTCAAATGTCCCTGAGGACACTACATTTTCTTCCCTTATCAGCATTCCCTGACTCATCCTTGTACTGCTCTGGCCTCCTCTGTTTCAGTTTCTCTAAACACTGAGATAAGTGTCTTGAGGCCAGATCATGAGATCAGAAGCTGACAGAGCTTGGAATTGATACTGGGCCCTTAATTTATGAAACCCTTAATTCATTTTGTTGGTTGGAGGAGAGAGGTAGAGAAGAGAGCAGGGAGTTAACTGTGCTGACCAGCTAGCTTGAGCATAACTCCAGTTGGGGGCTACATAGAGTACATTTTACCTCCAAGATTTGAAAGGGGTCTCAGGAACACAAGCTATGATGTGTTGCCTCTTCTGTGAGCATTTTTATGGTGGAGGGTTGGGCAAGCACTGTATCACTAAGCACAATGTTGAAATTCCTTGTATTCCTATTTCTTCCTGGACGTATGCTTTCTGGTTGGGATGAGGCTAGGGTTCTAGGGCTTGCACGTGTTCTTTCCCAAAGTCATTGCCTCTGTCTTCCCTCTGACCAGGTGTTGGACTGGATTGAAAATCATGGTGAGGCCTTTCTCAGCAAACACACAGGGGTTGGCAAGTCCCTACATCGAGCTCGGGCCCTGCAGAAGAGACATGATGACTTTGAAGAGGTGGCTCAGGTGAGATGCTGTGCATGATTGTCTGTGTGTGGAGCCAGGTGAGGGAGGCCAGTGATGTGACTGTCGTGTTTGGTGAGGCTTGTCAGATTAATATTCCCTCGACTCTAAGATGCCTGCTACAAGATCTTTGTTTTTTCTTGGATCACTAGGTAAGTAGTAAATAGACTCTGTATCTCCAAGGAAAGTCTTTTATGTCACAATCATCGATAACACATTGTCTGCAAAGTGATGACAGTGGGAGGAAAGAGATTATTATAAACATCAATACCCCAGGGATATCATATATGGCTGTCACTGCAGGTAAGCTGGAGTTAAGTGGATATTTTACAAAGCTAGGTAACTTTAAATCTCTTCTTTTTAGGAAGAGATTGTACCTGGACACCACACCACAGAAACACAGGCTAGTTGTGCTCAGAACACGTGATGTGTCTTTGTCTTACTGGCACAGTGTTTCATCTATAATTTGTACAATATTCAGCAGAGATGCACATCCGATCCAGAAAGGGTGCCATTTTACAATTTGTATAAATCTTCTGTCAATGAGAGGTCTTGACCATTTATGTTAATGGTGAAATGACGTAAGAGAATATCTTTTCTTAGCGTCTACCTAAAAATATGTTCTTTGTTTACATTTTTGCATTCTTTTTAAAGGAGTTTTCACTTTGGATGCTGGAAATCTTCATCTTTATGATGAAATGCTGTCCAGTTATTTTAAATAGTATCACAGTGGGAAATAAACTCTTAAGACTGCGTGGAGGGCAACTGGGAAGGGCATTGATATGGGACAATGAGATACACACTGCTGGAGGAATGAGGATGAAAAAGCTGGGGTTTATTGTCACATGGCTCTCTTGAACACTGGCTCTGGTTCCCCCAGGAGGGCACTGTTGCAGAACAGAAGTCTGGGGGTCACTTGACAACACAACTACAGACAGCCCTGACTCAGTGAAAGAATCTCTTTCACCTTCATAATCTAGTTGTTCTTTGCCCTAAGGCTCATATGAGAAGGGAATTCTGAATGTACACTTTCTGTATTCAGAATTCTAAAATACTGTTTTAAAATTGAAGGAACTGTCTCATCTTTTTCAACTCCTGAAACTTTTTCCTTCTTCAGGAAAGAGCGAGCTCCCAATTGTAGAAAATGGTTGCAGTTCTGCATAAAACCACTGAACAAATTCATATCCATTCCTGGAAAAGGGTTATCTGTGATTCTTATCATTGACCTCTCCTTATAATAAAGGCATATAAGGCTGTTATTAAATATAAAACATTGCTATGAAGAATTCATGTTAACAATCCATTAATTGGCATTAAACTTTAACTTAAATTTTGTTATTAGTTCTTGAACATATTTTTAAATCATTTTTTGTTTTTTTATTAGTGAAACACCATGAGGTATGGTTGTAGATTTACAAATTTTTGTGCTTGGGTTTCGATTATACAATGATCAAATACCCATCCCTCCACCAATGCCCATTTTCCATCACCATGGATAACATCCCTCCCCCCCATCCCCCCCATCCCACCCTGCCTCTGTGGCAGGGCATTCCCTTTTGTTCTCTCTCTCCTATTGGGTGTTGTGGTCTGCAAAAGAGGCATTGAGTGGCAAACATGTTCATTCCATAGTCTACTTTCAACATGCATCTCCCCTCCTGGGAGGATCCTCCAAACACCCTTTATTTGGTGCTCCCTTCTCTATCTGAGCTGCCCTTTCCCCTAAAATACCCGGCTGGCCTCTAAGCTATGGAGTAATCCTCCTGGTGCTGATCTCAGCTATTCTTGGGTATTAATCTCATACTTTGTTACTTTATATCCCCCAGATGAATGCAATCTTTCTATGTCTATCCCTCTCTTTCTGACTCATTTCGCTTAGCATGATACTTTCCATGTTGTACCAATTGCATGTAAATTTCATGACTTCATCTTTTCTAACAGTTACATAGTACTCCATTGTGTAGATGTACCAAAGTTTGTTTAACCAGTCATCTGTTCTCGGGCACTCAGGTTTTTTCCAGATTCTGGCTATTGTAAAGAGTGCTGCTATGAACAAACAAGTGCAGATGTCACTTCGACTATACGTTTTTGCCTCTCTGGGATATATTCCCAGGAGTGGTATTGCTAGGTCAAATGGGAGCTCAATTTCTAATTTTTGGAGAAAAAAAATAAATTGTTATTTTTAAGTCATAATTGTGGTAACATGATTACAGTAGAGTTTGCATTTATGCTTAGGAGTACAGAGTTACAGCCCCTTTGCCCCTGTCCCTTTACCAGCCCGAGACTCTCCACCATGTCCTGGATTTGCTTCTGCTCCATCTCTTCCTCTTTCCTTCTACTCCATCTCTTCCTCTCTTCCTCATCTCTTTCTCCTTCCTTCTGCTCCATCTCTTCCTCTCTTCCTCTTCCTCCTTTTCCTTCCTCCTCCCTCCTGCTTGGTAACCTCAGTTCTGTATTCAAAGCTCAAGGTGTTGTTGCCATTGGATACCATCCATTCCCTTACTTCATTTGTACATTTTAATTAAGGCACTGTAATTTACAAAGCTGAGTTTTACATGTTGGGATCGGGAGTCCCTGGCCCTGGGAGGCGCGGAGAGACCAGACAGACACAATTCCTGCAGGAGTAAAAACGGGGTTTATTTAGACCAGCATGCTGGGGCTCCACAGCATACCCCAAAGTGGGCAGTGGCTGAGAGCCCTGAGCTTCTTCAAAGGGGATCTTATATAGGCCTTCACAGGCCGTTACAGCAAGGCCCACACATTTCACAGCCAATAGATTTGTAACAACATATACTTTCCTAACCAATCCATTTAAAAGTACCTCACTCCTTAGCCTATAGATTCAAAGATCAGCATTTACGTACATTGATTGTCAGCACAAGCAAGGTTATAGCCGGAATCATTAAGCCTTAGGTAATCTCGCTTGACCATCCTCCTTTTGAGTTACCCAAGTCTGCAGGGTGCTTTAGTGAGACAATACACTCCAGGAAAGGGCAATTTCCCCCAACCACAGCATCCTGAGTTATCCTTTACCCAAGTCTGCAGGGTGCTTTACTGAGAAAATACATTTCAGGAACAGTAAATACACCTGAATCCTGTCACACTTGGTTTAGAAAGAAGTTATGCCCTGTTCACTTTCCAAGTCCCCTCTCCCCCAGGTGCAAAGCAGCCAAGCAGTTTTACAGAAAGCAATGTTGCAAGTTAGCTGAAACACACAAAACTTTGATGCCCTAATATGGATTCTTTCATACACAGCTGAATTTTAGGCATATAATGTTCTAATATCACTTCCGCCTCATTGGCAAACACATTTTAAAGTTTGGCTGTTGTTGTTTGGATCTCCTGCTTTAAATTTTGTTGGCTCTGGTTGTGATATATAGATATTCCACACCTTTATACCATAGATATACTTGAGTCTTCTGGTCCCTTACCCTGTTACTTCCCCTCACCCCAGATTTATTTCTTTCCCTACCCTTTATTATAAGGAGAGTATAGGATCAAGGGTGATCTAAGTATCTCCCACCTTCTTTCTTTACATAACACATATGAGTGAGATGTAGTTGTTCTTTTCCACTAATTTATTTCTCTAAGCACGGGACCCGCTTGCTAAATCCAAATTGTAACAAAAGACAAGATTTTATCTTTTCTTATATCTGAGTGGTATCCCATTATACCTATATGCCACAACTTCTTTATCTTCTTATCTGTTGTTAAGCACTTGGGTTGTTTCTAGATCAATCTATGGTAAATGGTGCTGCAATGAACATATGTGGGCATATATTTTTTTTTTCAATTTAACATTTCCGTATTCATGGGGTAGATGCCAAGGAGTGAAATCACTGGGTTCTCTGGGAATTGGACAAATTTTAAATAAATTCCTCAGCACTCATTTAAAGGAAATAAATTATTAATGAGTCTCTATTCATCCTCCAGATGGCACTCTTTGAATAGTCTACATAGAAGCTGAGCTGAATGAAAAAGGAGCCACAGCCCTGATAGTTGACTAGCGAGGCTCCTGACATGCAGAGGGTGAGGATCCAGGCCATGGTGTACCACTTCCACAGTCTGTCTGGTACCAGTTGCTGAGATTGTCCACAGTCAAAAAAAAGACTTGAACATAGTGCAAGTCCCTCCTGTGCTTTGTAGATACTTATCTGATTTGAGACATTAACCCAGACCAGAGAATAAATCGAGTACTTTAAAATTTTAATTTATTCATTTATTTTAGTTTGGGGGCCACACCCACTGGCGCTCAGGGGCTACCTCAGGCTTGTTGCTTGAAGATCACTCCTGGTAGTGTTCAGGGGGTCATATGTAGTGCCAAGAATTAAACCCAGACTTCCTGCATATAAAACCTGAACTCTAACCTGTTGAAATATTTCTCTGTCCTCCATAGAGTAAATTAGGTCTCAAAAGACATTGTGTTTTTGCATTTTTATAGCACATTAGATGTCATTGAGAATACAATCAAATATAAGATGGAATCGCCTCCCATACCATTGGAATGGAGATAGTATTGGGATTTTTGTCTTGATACCTTTGCTGTTACACAGTAGAATACTCAAGTGACCATAGTTTAGATTGCAGCTTTGTCTGCTCTGTTCATGTTCTGCTTAAACCTCAGTATCTGAAAGGTCAGTCTTGTCTTCCTGTAAGCTACCTTAGTTAACAAAAGTTAACATAATTACATCTAAATCCATATTATCTAAACTCTCACAGCACCAAGTCATATTTAAGCAAATAAACATAGAAAGTGCATTTGTATATAATTGTTTTAATAACAGATTATTTTAAAAAATAAAAATAAGTAGAAAACAGACATAGTTAAGTACCTATTTTATAATTTCTCATTTCTTCTGTATTTGATTCATGTATTTCTCAAATGTGATGCTTTAAAACATTCTTTGTGTGAGGTGAAAATACAAGGGAGCAATTTAGTAGGCCTTTACCAAGTAGGGAAAAAGGACTGGAGTACCTACTTTGCATGCAGGAAGCCTATATTTAAT